CATGGAAAACAACGCAAAATTTGAAGACGCAGTGGAGATGGCAGTCGAACCTAATGATAATTTCGAAGACGAACTACCTCAGCAAATAAAGAAATTGTTTTGGATGTTTACAATTTTATAAGAAATTCAAACGGGGACGTCGGAGCAGCAATAAAAACAAGTGACGTAGAACGTAATAAATTACTATTTGGTACTAATTTTTTTATGTACCTGATTCACGAATTGCTCCGCGAAAAAGGTTGAAAACATACTTATATCCCACTTGTTAGTGTATGTAGATAAATTCCTAGCACTGTCTTTTAATGGTTACGGGTAAGGGTCTGCTCAGTAGGTTGTTCTATAAGGGGCTGAAGTTTTGGAGTAATGAACAGTAGTAAAGTTAAACATGGGGTCGGTTGTAAAAGCACTATATTTCTGGTCAAAGTATACACTTTCCCTAACCTTAGAATGATATCGTACTTTTCGAGTTTCGGCAGCAGTTTTGTAGTGGAAACTACTGGTAATTATCCAATAATTGGTGCTATCTCTGTCGAGTGTACCATACCTGGGCGTAATAGGCAAAGGTAGAACACTGGCAGGTAAATGGGTGGGTTTTAACATTTTTACTATACGAATGGAAGCAGGTAAAATACTGATGCACCTTCTATCTTTGTTTTAAGGACTATATGTATATTTTTATCTCTCTGAATAGAGATTACATTTCGAATTGCATTAAAGAGATAAAAGTATACACGCATTTGTTTACGTTTACGTTGAAAAGTCTCTTAAAATTTCGAAAAAACCCAATAGAAAGTAAATTCTACTAACTAGATTACGTGAAAGTAACGGGTTTTCTTTTAGCGAAAATGTTATTTTCTCTGCCTAATAATATCGCGAGCTGGAACAAATAATGGAAAATATTGAAGCGATTATCGGGAGCAACACGCAACATGTTATTCAAATCCGTCGTGTTTTATAAATTGCTACCACGTCCCATTTTCAATTATTCCCATATAGGTACCGACAATTCAATAAAACGAAACGTAATTATTTAAGTATTCGACTACAGCGGAACGTTCCAGTTTGTGTTAGTCACATTTCCATCCCACTTAACTTATTTAAAGGTAGGAAAACAAATTATTCCGCAAGAACACGTGATGTTTTCATTCCTATTTGCGACGACGGCTCCCCAGTTATACAGGGTGTAAAAATAGAGTACGCCATACGTCACAGAGTATTGGTAAAAATAAAATTAAAAAAAATAAAGGAAATAAAAACTGGGAAAGAATGGTTGTCGATCCATAATAAATTTGAATTTTATTGTCAATGATCTAGGAGGGAATACTAAAATTGAAGAAATATTACGTATTTTAGATTATGATGCTGATGACGGTCCTGAACAAACAAACATTTCGTTTCTGCTGAAAAGTTGCAGTTGAATAGTATATTATGCAAAAAGTGTGGTAAGCGGCATTTGAGTCACGAACTTATTTGACACGAGCGGAGTTGGTGTTTAATAATAAATAAATCTATAATAATAACATAATAAAAAACTTTACCAAATGTGTTGCATACTCTACTTTTTCTACTATCCTTAGTTTTTGGGTACATTTTCCCAAGACAACACGAATACATTCACTGATATGGCCCTCAGACTTGACAAATGTCAAAATTCAAGGCGTGCTGTGAAATGGCAACACTACAAGTGGGGGAATGTTCAAATTATAAAAAAAAACTCGGTGAGTCTCGTTTCGCCAGGGATCTGGATGGTCCAATGTCAAATAGAAAAGGACAAATTGCTTTTTCGTTCGAATGACGTGATTTTTATATCGAAGTAGGCAGACTTTGTAATTTGGCAGTCGATACTAGATAGGTATAATCCGAATACGAATTAGCAAAATGGTGCTTGTTTTAAAGATAGAGGACGTACATCGGGTGCTAAGTCCGCACAGGACACATGAATTCCTATGCATACGATCAGTTATTGTTTCCAAAAAATTATAGGTTAATTTTATCGAAGGGTACTGAGTATCTTTTTGAATATTTTATCGGCATTATCGCCCCCTATTTATTGCAGCCACCGTCGACAGCAAAATTCATTTTTTAGCAAACTAGGTTGGGTTTACAACTGATGATGGGAATAAAACTGATTATAAGCTGATTGCATTCACTGTGCAATTTGTCCTAACCAGTTGCGAGTGAGCTTTGAGGTAACACACATTTATTGGTCCCTACCCCTAGCCTACTTTACAAATAAGATGGGATATTTCCCATAGCCACATGAGAATCACATAAAAAAGTACTTATGGTGATACAAAAATACTTTAAAATCTACAGCATTGTGGACCTGGCTTCTTGGCTCACGGTCCCAGAGCGGCCCGGAAATGTCCCGGCCCTAATGGGCCCACCAAATCTTTTTTTTGTTGCATGGGTGTAGCAGAAAATATGTGTTCTCTTTTCTGATGAAAAAGTGTTAAAATAGTTGAATTGAAACAAAAATTTAAAGCACAAGCATTTTAATAAAAAAAAATAAGAAAGTGACTAATTGCTTTTGAATGGGATTATCCAAGGGTGGTCATTAACATAGAATGCAAAAAGATTATCACCTAAAGTTTCGGAATTTAAATTCAGGTAAAATTATGGTCAGTAATATAAAATAATTTTATAATTATATATTATATATTATTATAATATTCTTGTTGCATTGTATGTTAATGACCAAACTTGGATAATCCCATTCAAAAGCAATTGGTCACTTTCTTATATCTATGAACAGAAAATTCCAATAACTTTTTTCATAAACGTCAATGAAGGTAAAATCATTTTATAACAATGTCTGCCAAATTTGATTCCTTTTATTCAGGGGCTTTCGAGAAAAATGGCTCATCCCAAGCTTTTGTGCCAAACTGTATAACCAAACTAATATCTAGGTCACTCGCTTGCTCGCAGAATTCTAGTCAAGTCTTCCAGTTCCGCAGGTATATTCGATTGCCTCCACCTCTGCATTGAGTTACATACTGAGTTGAAGGAAGTAAGGCACCTTCGGAATTTCTAAAATTACGTTAAGATAATTGACATTTATTACCACTTATATAGTTTTAGTCGTATAGTGTAATGTACTACATATTTCTACAAATATTTACAATACTAATATCTTCTTTACCTTGTCGCAAGTCTACTGCATACATTCTTTCGGTCTCCTTTCTTATACATGCTTGCAACTCCTCTCTTGAATTTGATCCTTCAAGTGTTCGTGATTATGTTGTTCCTTAACATGAACACACCATTTTTCGCATCTCAACTGCCTGACTGAGGCAAAAAAGACCGCCCTCACTTCCCAACAGAAGCAAGCAACCTTATTTTCGTTGAAAAAATCTTCCAGTCTTCCAAAAAGTGTAAAATCAAAGTGGAGAGGCCAGACAACCAGCGTTTCCACCTTCGATTTGTTGACAGGTACAAAGCTGCAGACCATTTCAGTGTAAATATATGGGGATTGATTCAGTCAGAGAAATAGCAGTGGTTTGGCGGATGGAGGGGATTAGTTGATCAAACTTATGTAGAAATATTGCAGAACGTTATGGTGCCCAGGGTGGAACAGCTTTATCCGGAAAATAATTGTATTTTCCTGTCCACAGTGGAAAAATCGTTAAACAATGGCTTCAAATTGCTAACATTGAAACCTTGTCTTGGTAATAGTATTGACAACAACCCAATTAGAAGAAATTTTATTCTTCAAACAGCGAAAAGCCATTGCAAAGTATTCAGGAACTATGGAAAGAATTGTCGCTTGAAGAAACTTACTTAACGTCCTTCATAACCATTAGCCAAAGCTGATGGTTGATGCGTGTGATGTCTTCTTGTGCTGTTTATGTTAAAATGTTAATCGTTAATCGTCTTCTAAATTTGTTACAATTCTTGCGTTTACCTAAACCTAAACATTTTTAATTGTTTATTTAAAATTTAAAAATAATGTTTTTATTTGTTAAATAAATAAAATTTGAGTCTGTTTAGTTTAGACGTTTTTTAATGATAAAACTCAAGAGAACAACCAGCGATAAAAGATAAAATTGAACAAAATTCTGAAGCACAATATATTTTTTGCAAGATATCTTCACAAATTTAACAAAGAGGATGCCTCCTATTCTTTACAATAAATTCGTGTTTAAATAAACAGTAAAGACTTTGTAGTAATGAAAATAGACATAATCATACATTTTATTATAAGAGATGTATAAACTATTTTTGTATTTCTATTCACGCATTCCCATTGCAATAGAAATACGCGCCCTTACTCCTTTGGCTGATGTAGTTGACGAAACAGTCAAAATGAACCATTCTTAAAAAACCAACTCATGAAAATTAAATTAATTTTTATTACTCAAAATATTTGCACAAACTTGCCCTTGGTTCCCATATTGGAAGTCAAAACAAACTTTGTTGACTCAAGATATATCACCGCCCGATGATATGTATACTGCTCAAAGTACAAAGTGGATTTTTCACGCAGTATTTTGACTAGACTTTTAATTTTTTTTTATGCATATTTTTACGAGAAGCAAATTTCAAATTTTGCGTTCAATGGTGTTGACGTAAAATAAGTTTGGATTCTAAGATTATATTAACTCTTTGCACTATTTGATCTACTCCGTTTTTGTAAACAGTATTCAGATGGGGTACTTTCAACATGATGGCGATATAAATATCAAACAGCAAGTGACTAGAACTAGTCTATCCCCAAAAGATCATAATTTTGGTGTTGTGGTTCTAGTTACTGCTCATACACCCAACTAGTTTTCACTATGTTGGTTTATACTGATTACATATGGTAATGTTTATGCCTAACTCTAACGAAATATCCCCGAACCCCGACATATAAAAGCGACTTAATCAAAACGATTATTATCTACATTGTTACATACTAAACGAAGGGTTAAAAATCCACTTGAAGCTTGGTCAGAAGTTGTTTACAATCGTCTCGCCCGAACTGTTTACGTCTACGTGGTTAAGAACCTGAATTGTAGATCAAACAAAGAGGCAATCATTTAATTAAGGTCCTGCCGGTGTGTATAAAATGGCGTCGGTTTAACAGGACCGGTTTAATTTGCTACCGAGTGCCAAAACAACGACGACGATGAAATCTTTAGTTGCAGTTTGTGTCTTCGTCTTTGTGTTCGCCCAGGTCAGTATAGATGAAATATTTCGGACTCTAATCCTCACTCAACATTTTCATACAGATTTTTATTTGTAGTATTTGTTTATTTAGATTTTAACGCAATACGTAGACTTTTTATTGACTTTATTGATGAATTGAATTAATACATAGCTATTATGATCATTACGATAGAGTGACCACTACTTTCCAATGCACTATTGTGTAAACCGCTTATTTCGGACTAACTCGATTAAATTAATGTTAAAACAATTCATCGAAATGCAAATGACTGGTGCACCCATAAATTAAAGGGCATCAAAACAGAAGTGAATGATTGCCCAATAACGGATTTGGTCATAAATTTACATCAAATATTTTTGTTGTTTTATTTTGCTATCTGGCGCTGTTAGTTGTTAAAATGCATTAAATATGGAAAAGTTATTTCATTCTGAAAAATTAAAGTGATGATTAAACAATGCTTTTTACAAAACTTCTGGATACCTCCTGCGTCGGTTTTTGCTTCTGTTGGCTTCTTCAGAGCTTGACTGAAACTGAAACAGTTTCAGGCGACCTCCCAGATAGCGGGCTGCATACAATGCACAGGCCTTATACACACAAAATAGCTGCATTTCAATCTTTTATACGCAGACTTCTTGATATGCCACTCTCAACAGAAGATTATAACAAATAACTTAATATCATTAAACAAATTCCGCTGAACAACGGCTACAATCCGTTCATTATCGATTAAATTATAATAAAAAGCAAATTCAGCCAACAGTAAACTCTATTTATCCGATACCTAATACAGAACACGAACAATTCAATTACATACATAGCAGAACCCAGTGAAAAAGTTTCAAAACATATGTCTAAATGTGGTTGAAAAATAGCTTTCAGAACTAACAACACAATAGGAAAATTATTAAAAAACGATAACACGAAATGTCCAAAATCCCAAAAATCAGTTGTCTACAGGGTGAAATGCGGATCTTGTCCATAAATTTATATTGAACAAACAGGTAGATCTCTGAAGAAACACATTAACGAACAAAAAAGAGTGTTTAAAAACAATAGTCTAGATTCTAATTATACTACACACTTAAACACAGAAAAGCACATTTTTGACGACAATTTTGATATTTTACATACAGCCACAAAAATTAGAAAATTAAATTTACTGGGAGCCATATAGATTAACAAAATGAGACATACAAATGTATTGCTTAACGATCAACTAGATTTAAATACCTCTCCATTAGTAAAATTAAATTCTGACAACTACATTAATTAAGGTTTTAATGTCATTTTTCGTTATATATAGTAGTTATATATAGACATCGTGTTGTCGAAACAATTGTCATGTGAAAATATATAATTTGCTGGAAATCTGAGTTTTTAGTTCTTATTTATTTTGAGAAGAGCAGAGGTAGGGTGATCTAATTTTGGGTTCAGTGACTCGGGTTGAGATAGTTTTATGGCTCTGTAAACAAGAGAGTTGGTAACCGAAGATTTTTGGGCCGGATGGTGATGTGACAATGCATTAAGTTATCGGTCTGTGTGCGTAGGTGTTCTGTAAACACAAAGACTCAATGTTAGGTCTGATTTTCCATTGATAAGAATATCTTAGAATAGTAATAGTTTCTAAGTCAAGGGTAAAACGTGTGTTGGAGGGTATAGAATTTAAATGATTAAGAAAATCTGGCAGGGTTTATTGATCATGAGGCGAAATATCAGAAGTATCATTAAGTTGCTTTTCCATAATTTTGGTTTTAAATGGAAGATGTCGACCGCTTTCTTCTCAAAGGCTTCCATAATAATAATCGCCATGACTGGTACTAGGTACTAGAAAAATATGTTCCAGATAAGCATTTTTCAATTAAGATGAAAAGTCTGAGTTCCAGATTCTCGAATTTTAATTTATCTGAAATGGCGATCTAACATAATAGTTATCAATTGTTGAAATAAAATCTAAAACTCACTTTTCCCTGTATTATCGTGAATTATTATAGAAGCTAGATATTTTATTAGAGAACGTGTTGGAGAATCAATGGTGCCGACAATCTGTGTGAATGTTAGTTAGTCTGCAGACACGAGGAATGTTACAGTTATGCAGGGTAGCAGACTTTTTCGCGGATTTTTATATTGATTTTTAAGTTGACCATAGGATCCGTCCGTGGTAGTTGCGTTCATGACCACCCTAATATTTGCTTTGTCTCGATTTAGGAGGTTGGCATTTGTTAAGGATTTTTGCGTTTTTTGGATAGACTCGACATTTGAATTCTTTTCCTCTTTTGGAATAATACGTGGTGCAAAGACGAAGTTGGAACCTTTTGGAAGAACTGATTTTTTGTCTCTGAAATTTAGTGCTGTGATCTATCATTTTAGATGGAAGATGTAGAGTGGTTTCTTCTCAATTATTCTCAAAAACTCTTATTTAGATATTCCCTGATCACTGACGATAATGGAGAACCCATAGGTGTTCCCGGTGTTTGCTCAAAAATTTTCACCAATATGGGAATCAGTCATCCGAGACAATGTCCATGGGACAAAAATTTTGAAACACAACACAACTGTAATCCGTTTTGCAGGTTAACGCCCAGACGGACAAGCAAAAAGAACTCCTCGCCAAACACCACAAGGAATGCCTCGCCAAGTCGCAAGTTTCCCAAATAACCCTGGACAAAGCCCGCACCGGTGACTTCCAGAACGATCCCAAACTAGCGGAACACATCCTATGCATCTCGAAGAAGATCGGTTTCCAAAACGAAGTCGGAGAGTTGCAACGCGAGGTCATCGAGAGGAAACTCAAAGAGGCTGTCAAAGGGGACGAGACCAAAACCAAGAAACTCATAACCGATTGCGTAATTAACGACGCGAACCCGAAAACGACAGCAGTTAATGCGTTCAAGTGCATTTACCAAAAGGCCAACATCAATTTGCTCTGAGCCAGTTTGAGGCTTCCACATTTTATTACACGCGACATAAAACACTGTCAAGATGAATGTTTCCGGTTGTGTAAATAAAATGGTAATTTAAAAGTAATTTTGATTTATTACCCCGCTGGTATTTTATGATTCAGGATGGTAAGGAATAGTAGAGGATCGGATGAAAATACCACTTTATCAAATAAAATAAGTTTCTGAACATGACTCGACTTGGAAACCTCAACGGAAATGTTCAAGATTATTTTTTATTAAAAAAAATGTGTTTTACAAGATTTTTGAGGTTGTGTTATGGACTCCCAGAATTTACTTTTGGAAAACTTAACATTGTCAGCTGATAAGCGTTTTAGTCTAAGATCGGAGCTAAGACCGACCCTCTCCATGGCAACCGGATAAAAGTGACATTTTATCAAATAAAGGAACTTTTTGAACTTGACTCGACATAGCAACCTCAACGGAAATGTTCAAGACTATTTTTAATAAAAAAAAAGTGTCTTACAAAATTTTTAAAGTTGTTTTATGGATTCTCAGAATTTACTTTTGAAATAACATTGTCAGCTGACCAGCGTTCTAGTCTAAAATCGGAGGTAAGATCGACCTTCACCATAGCAACTGGATGAAAACGAAATTTTATCAAATAAAATAAGCTTTTGTACTTGAACCGGTGTGTCTACCAAACGAAACTAACTCCAGTGAAAAGTATGTACCATACACAATATACAACACCACCTTTTTTTGGTCCTATTACCTGGTAGCTGCTGTCAAACAGTGAGTTGATGTTAATAATTGCACTCTTTTGCCAACCAATCCGGGCTAGTCTTAAAGTAAAAGTAATTTAATTGTAAATATAGAAAAATTTGGTCATAGATGCTAGTTGCAGGACAGACGGAGCGAGCGAGAGTCCAAGACAAAGAAAGATTGCACGTCGTAGAAAACTATTCAATGCGAGGAACTAATTAATTGACTATAGAGCAGTGTTTTGAGTAGATAAGATGATTTTTTTTTAAATAAATAAAAGAATAATATATTCCTTAGAAAAATGCTGTTAGTCCATAGCTAGCAGAAAAATGAAAAATTGGTTGTTAAACCAAGTGATCATCATCATCATCGTCAAGTCAATAAAAAAAAATTAACACCTAACATAATAATAATAAACTAATAATAAGGTCCCATTCTTATATACTCTTATCAATAGAAAATTAGACAACATTGGGTCATTGTGTTTAGAGGAAACCTACGCACACAGAACGGTACCTTAATTCATTGTCACATCACCATCCGGGGCAAAAATCATCAGTTATCAAGTCTTGTTTACAGAGCCGTTAAACTTCACCACAACACAACACAATCCCACACTTGTCATTGTTGTCCTTCCTTACATTCAAAACATCACTGACGACCAGATTAAGCACTTAACCAAAAACTCTCAACATCTTCGATCCGTCAAAGACAAAATTCCATTTGAGATAAAGGGAGTTTACAATATTCCATGCATATCCGGCAAAGAATATATTGGCAAGACCTTAAGACTAAGACAAATAAACTCGCCAGCAGTTGCGAAACGAAACCGGACATAAGATTCCTAAAATTCTTGCATGTAATCAATAGAAATCTATAAGCAACCTAACAATCTTAACCGCGACTCAGATCTCTACCTGTCACTAATATGGGAATCAGTCCTACGAGACAGTGTTTATGTCCCTCATTTTGTTCGGCCTCCCTCAAACAATATATAATCAGGTACAGAGTAAAATGCGAGCTACTTTCAGTTAAGCTCTGAAGACGCCAACAGGATGATTGGCCAAACTTTAGCAAGTTTGACTCAAGAAAAACCGACGCAAGAGGAATCCAGTTTTGTGGAAAGTATTACAATAGCCTGTGGAAGGATCAAGTTGCATATGGCATCTTTTTAATTCTAGGTCATTAAAAATAAGTCACCTCGCTATTTGTTTAATAAAATTTCCCTTAGAGCAAACATCTATAAGCTTAGTTTGCGTAACAGGGGATTGTTGACTGTACCCCGACACATAACTGAGGTATTCTTACAATGTTAACAAGTTACAATGTTACAATGTTAACAAGTTAACTATCTGCACTTGTCTGGTCTTGGTGGAGCCTAAACTGCGTTTAGGGGTAAGTTTAAAGTTAGTTTTCTCCAACGACAACCGTAGTCTCTTGCAAAACTTGTTCATTTTTGTTCATCTTTTCCTATTTTTTTCCTTTCGTTCCTACCTTTTGCTTTTTCCTTCTCTCTTGGATATTTATTGTTACTATATAACAATATTTTTTCTTTTTAAATGAGGATTTAATGTTATCTGGGTTTTGCCTGGATGACTGTAAGCCTTTTGCTGCATGTTTTTCTAATTTACTTACGCTTATTTATATCTGTTGTATTTTTCATGTTGTTAGCCATAAACGTTTATTATTTATTATTATTATTAATATTAGTTATTAACAACAAAATAATCCTCGTCTCACTCTGAATAAAATTTGCCTCACGAAATCCGTTTTAGCCTTATCAAACGAGACCGATCGACACGACATCTTTTCGATATTTACTTTCCCAGCTAATGACCCTCCAAATGGATGTTTGTGAACATTCATTTTCTAGGAGCGTAAATAAAACATTAACGAAAGGGCCATTTTATTTTCCACAGGTGATTTTCGACTCAGTCCTGAACGAATGAATATGAAAAAGTTAATCAAAGCGGAATCAATTGACTCAACCAGAGGAGAAGTGGTAAGTTTTACGTAACGACAGAGACAAAAAGAAAACAAGCTGCATAAAACCGTGTGTGAATTTTGACTTTAATAACCACGCAAGGCGATCCATGCATCGTCAGATAAGTTATTCATTTATTCGAAAGCCTAACGTGTAAGTTAGATTCTATCAAAAATGTTTTGTTTATTGGATAAGACCCTGTACCATACTGTACGGTTAGTGATATAGAATTTTCGCTGTCGCTGGAAACTGTAAACTCATATTTAGCCAGTCAATTTTTTCATTATTCGCAGAAATTGTTATTAACGTTAAAAAAAAATTATCTACTTGTTTGTCCCTGTTACGAAAAATTATTGATATTATTACACGTTGTCAGAACGATTAAATGCAGCGACCTTGCTCTATAAAACTCGATCAATAAAAAATATGGAAGTAACTACCTTGTTTTGTAGTATTAGAATAAAAATTGCGTAAATAAAAAGTCTGTTTCGTGCGAGCGCCCCAATTTTACTCAAGGAATAACCAAAACTAACGCTTCATATTGAGTGAACATATAAATCATAATATTTAGTTCAGCTTTAGGAAAATCCATACCGATTTATTTTTAACTTACTGACACCACAATAAACTTTATGAATTTATTTATTCAGTTGTCAGGTTGTCATTTTGTAATGTTATAGCAATATTCTTAGACAGAAAGAAGGGTAAATATTAAAACTTCATGCAAAATTCTAAGGTGTAAGTATTGTCAGGAATAAATAATGTAACTGTTTTAGATATTTAATCATTCCTTTTCCAAGGTCTACCGCAAATACTTTCATGAAATTTAAAAAAAAAATTTTTGTGAGGTCATTAATAAAAATTACAACAAAAAAAACAAACTTTATTTTTTTTTTTTTCAAAAAAATGAAATCATTTAGGAAAAACTGACTACCTCACTGAATGCGCAAAAATCTCTGTCGGACATTATTTTCACTTTTCACCAAAGCTTTACTATAATATAAAAAAGTTGAAAAATTTTGAAAAGAATTCGAAACAAAATCTATAATTTAAAATAATTTTAAATTTTGGATCCTAATCATCTTCACAACGGCGTCTGGTTTAATAAGTTCAATTTTTCATTGCTTTGTGATAGACCCGATCCTTGTAATTGCATTTTCAGTCCCACACAAATTTCCCATTATTTTACTTTCGGCATCACTGCTGATACCCTCGTTAGCGAACGAGGTTTTGTGGGTCATCATAATCCTAGTTACAAAACTTAGTTCTAGCTATGCCGATTTGAAAGCTAATTGTAAAACCATTCCCAACGGGAATAATTTGCTGGTATTAAGTAAAGTTTGCTATGTGGGAATGACGGAAATTGACATTATAAGGGGTGTTTTTTTCGATGTTGCAATAAAACAACGATGGATTATTCGATTGACATGAATTTTATTTATGCGAAAAATAATCTTGTGGCATTACATTTTAAATATAATTTCTGGCATATGACCGCCACGGCTGGCGCGGATGTAGTCCAATCTGGCGAATGTTCCAAATGGTCAAGCGTTTGTGGCTTATCTGCATAGACCAATGACTTTACATAGCCCCACAGAAAGTAGTCTAGCAGTGTTAAATCACAAGGTTTTGGAGGCCAATTCACAGGTCCAAAACGTGAAATTAGGCGGTCACCAAACGTGTCTTTCAATAAATCGATTGTGGCACGAACTGTGTGACATGTTGCGCCGTCTTGTTGAAGCCACATCTCCTGGACATCATGGTTATTCAATTCAGGAATGAAAAAGTTAGTAATCATAGCTCTATACCGATCACCATTGACTGTAATTCCACCAGCCCATAAAGCGCACCAAACAGTCAGTTGTTCTGGATGTAACGCTGTTTCGACATACACTTGAGGATTAGCTTCGCTCCAAATGCGGCAGATTTGTTTCTTGACGTAGCCATTCAACCAGAAGTGCGCTTCATCGCTAAACAAATTTCGCTTATGAAAATCGGGAACAACGGCAACCTCGTTTTGAGCCCATTCAACGAATCTACGCCTTACTTGATGATCGTTTGGCTTCAATTCTTGCACGAGTTGGATTTTGTAAGCACGTAAACCAAGATCCTTCCGCAAATTCTTCCATAAAGTGGATGGACACAGATCCAATTCGCTCTACATCAGCAATAGCTTCTTCTGTACGCACCATACGGCGTCTCTGGGGATGCGAGTTATCAATAAGAGTAAACGTGGTGCGAAAACGTTCCATGGTTAGTCGAATTAACTGCTCTGATG